AAATTGAACCAATGAGAGACCAAGTGGTTAGAGTGCTGTGAAAAAGACACCTGCTGTGCACACGGAACTCACCAGGGAAAATGCTAGAAAAGGAAGTACATGAGGTACCATATTGGGCATGGGGTGGGGGGTAAAGAGGTAACTACAGTGAGGATGGCCCCATCTTCACAGACACCTTCTTGTTCTTTCAAAGAAAGGAACTAACAGTCAAGCGACCCAAGCTATTTGAGCTTATTTGCATATGGGTTGAACTGCTACCACTTACCCTCAACATATCCTTGTGAAAATACCAAGAAACGGGCAATGTCTTTTGAAAAGACTACTGTAAACAAGTTAAGGACACCTCAATACCTGCAAAATATACTTCTCTTGTTTGAAGACGACGTATTCCACCGTTACCTGCTATGTGTGGGTTTACTTCAAAAAGATAATGCCACATTGCAAAGAAGCAAACAGTCACCATCCCTTTTGTAGAAGGGAAGTCTCTTACAAAAACACCGAAGTAAGAGTTAGCCTAAAGAAGCCACACAGGGCATCTGCAGCTACTGAGCACCCATCTGTCCACTCAGCCTCCTCAGATCTGGCAGTTTATGGAAAGCTGCAAACTAGAAGCCAAGGTTAAGTCTGGTGCCTAGAGGAGTTAAGCCTAGAGCGTTGCATGTTGTCCTATGTCCTAGTTGGCTTTTTATGGTTGTGATAAACCCGCAACCCCAGCAACCTGAGGAGGAAAGGGCTCGTTTCAGTTCACAGATTGTAGTCTTTCACCGAGGGAAGTCAGAGCAGGAACTCAAGGCAGGCACTTGGAGATAGGAACATTAGAGTGACGCATAGTGGCTTCCTCCCATGGCTTGCCCAACCTTAGCCCAGGGTCATCTTCCCAGGATGGCACCACCCACAGTGGGACAGGCCCTCACACATCAATCATTAATCAAGAAAATGACCCCTCAGACTGGCCTAAAGGCCAATCTTATGGTGGCAATTTCCTCTCATATGACTCTCTAGTCTGGGCCATGTTGAAAAAACACTAACCAGAGTCCTGTTGCTATGCCAGCAAAAGGTACTCAAAGCACAGACAGATTGCTACACTATGGAGAAGGTTTGAGTGCTAGAAGCCCAGCCCCTGTGCAACCATCATGACAGATGGTGGGACCTTTTGCAAGTGGGACCTAGATGGAGGTAGTTAGGTCATGAGGATCCCACCCTTTGAATACACTAATTCTGATTGTCTAGAGTGGGTTGGTTCTGAGCAGAGGAAGCTTTTACAATGATTGAGCAAGGCCCCTGAATTATCTCTTGCCTCCCATGTTCTACATGATCTCTCCTTTGCAAGTTCCAACCACAACCGCAGGCCCCATGCCACAATGCAGGCAGAACAGCTCATCCTAAGGTTGAGCACATGGGGTCACCTTTCTGCCTCCAAAACTGAGAGTCTGTTAAACCTGTCTTTATTTTATTTCTTGGCTTTCCGAAACAGGGTTTCTCTGTGTAACAGCTCTGGCTGTCCTGAAACTCAATCTGTAGACCCAGGCTGGCCTTTAGCTCACAGAGATCACCTGTGTCTGCCTCCCTAGTGCTGGGATTAAAGGCATTTGCCATCATCGCCTGGTATGAACCTGTCTTTATATAGTTCCTAGATGGGGGATTTGTCTTTGCAACACAAAACAGTAATGTTTGCTTAGAAACCACAGCATCTCCTCTGGGGGGTGGTAATTATAGCCAAGAAACATGTTAAATCTCAAATCCTGCATTAGAGCCAAGCAGCTCTCACACCTAAACTGAACCTGCTCTTTCAGAAAAAAGTTCAACAGCTACTTTGTGAGCTAACACTGTGCTAAATATAGAACAAAAACCACTGTCACGGACTCTTACCAGTTTCTCTACTCATAGAGCTTGTCTTTACTGGGGACGTTCATGAATAAGATGCAGAGAATGAACAACACTCTACCTTTAAAATCCAGGGGGGGGGGGGATGGGTCATGAAGAGGAATCCGGCCGGGTAAAAGGCAAAAGGGAGATTTTTAAAGGTATTTATAATAAGTGCCCAGTCTTATGATAAGACAGGGCTGCCCAATGAAACCAAAGACCATGAGAAGGCAAGACTGGCCTTGGCAGGTATGTGGTCTGAGGATGGAGCCTATGGTTGGATTGTGTTGTGGCTTCTAACCTCAGAGTCCCTCTCAGGTGCCATCATCCCACGGGGACTGACTTGGTGACCTATACCACTCCAATGGAAGTTTGCAACCTGTTTGCATGTTCTGGTTTCACTTGGGCCTTAGGCTAGCCTATTCAGAGAGTGCCCTGAGTTCATTGGCCCACACCCCAGAGTGCAAAGCCAACTGTCCGTCTTCCATTGGAGAGATTTAAGTGGAGCCCACAGGA